GAGATTTCTGTAACCCTCTCCTCTCCTCTCCTCTCCTCTCCTCTCCTCTCCTCTCCTCTCCTCTCCTCTTCAAATTTTTTTAGAAATTTTGTTTTCTGTGGTGCAAAGTCCCAACAGCTCAATAGATGCCTTGTTATGGCCCTTTTTGGAATGGGAAGCCCATACAATGGGGATTCATGTCCTGAGTTGTGTGCCAAGTAGGGTGGCCATATACATTAATTAATTAAATAAATATTGCCTCATAATTAGACAACTATAATTTATTCTATGTGGGACTGCCTTTGAAGATGATTTGGAAACTGCAGTTGGTCCAGAATGTGGCAGCCTGGTTCCTGACAGAGTATAATGGAATTTAGAGTTGACCTTACAGTATGAAAGAGCCATTAAGAAAGGCTTAGATGAGAGATTACACAGTCAGAGGTAGAACAAAGGATAAGAAAGAAAGTCAAAATAACCCCATTTTGATTTTGTTTAGTATGAGATGGGATGGAGAGAAACTCGGCCAGGCTTTCAAGATTTTGTTGTTATGCCCTACAGCCATAAAATAGCATCCCTGGAATCCCTGTGGTATCTGTTTCTTGCCTTGGCCTACCTTGAAGGGCTGACATGGGACCTAAAGTGATTCAGCAGTGTAACATCCGTGTTGTAGTTGCCACACTAGCTGCTAGTAGATTTCTGGGTCCAGTTCAAAGTGCTGGTGGTCTTAATCTATAAATCCTTACATGGCTTAGCTCCCAGGTACTTTCAAGACCATCTGTCCTGCATGGAATCCACCTCTACTGAGTACTCAACCCAAGAGGAGATGCTTCAAGTCCCTTCTTCCATAAAGGTTTTGGGGAGTACCCTGAGGCAGGCTTTCCCAGGAGCTGCCCTAGTATAAATAGTAAGTAAGATGACCTTGAAGGAGATATGCAGCAGCCATTGCCTAGACAAAAGGGGCTGAACATTTTTAAAGTCCAGAACAGTGAGATAACATTTGGAAGTGGTTCAGGCAGACGTCTCCCTAATTCACTGAACCATAATAAGGAAGAAGAAGTACAGCACAATCAGACTTGCTAGATTCTGTTATTATAGTTAATATAGTTATTATCTCAGCTCAATATAGTTATTATCTTAACTACTAATAAAAGTAGTTTCAGACTTTCAGTGGAGTTGATTTCCTGGTCTGGTCCTAGTGGAGCTGACACCCTGTCCTCTACCCCCAGAGGTCTTGTTGGCTCCTACTCTGCTGTCATTTAGGAAGCCCATTAAAACCATTCTAATTTGGAAGTACTTTAGCGTTTAATAGTCTGCTGACATGTCACTGCTGGGAGGTATGACATTGATTTCATTTATTATTTAATGCTACATTCTATTCAGTTTTGTCTTATAGTTATTTTGTTTTAATAGATGTAAACAACTGAGATACTGGCAGTATACAAATTATATAATAAAATAATGCTAAATAAATTCAAGAAATTGAATGACTGAAATTCTTTACTGTGAGTTTCAATTTTTTTCAGAAGTTTTATATTCCTGTAGAACATAAAAAGTAGATTATAGGATTGTTTAACCGTTCATCTCTCACCCTGCTGTTTGAAACTCTACTATTAAAAAAGGTTACTTAGTGTGTCTTTTGTCTGCTAATGTCAACATCAACTTTCCTTCTACTCCTTACAGTAAGGATATAATTCTTAGTCTCCATCTGTAATATGGGACAATATATTGGAGAGTTTATGTCTCCATTCTTTGTAGAATGCATTTGCATGGCAATATTTAGCATTTATTTAATTACCAACAACAACAACCCCCCACGTTACAGTGTCAGAAAGAAAACCTTTCTTTCTTCTATAGCTTTCTTCTTTCCTTCACCTTTAGTAGAGGTGAGCAAGTCACATAATCATGTGAAATCATTATAAGTATTACTTTCTGGATTTCTCTGTTGTCTTCAGTTAGCATTTGTCACTTTTAACACTCTAAGAACAATTACAGCATCAAATGTAACCAGGAATTTGGTCTAGTTTTCTAATGCTTCTTATATGCATGGAGAAAATAGTTGGGAACAATTGTCATCTTGGATGTTTATGGTAGCAAACTGTTCAGTGATTAACCAACTGCTATCCAATTGCCCAGAAGTACAGGATATAAGGAGAAAAATGTAGAGGCTTCAAATTGCTAGCAAGGCATACACCTTGTATGTTCTGCTTTCATTATCTTGCTTCAATCAACTCTTTTCAGTAAGTACACATCATGTTCCAATCTTAAAGAGAGGTAGTCATCAGGCCACAGTTGGTGTCAAAATAATCTTTATTAGCAAAGTAACTAATGCCTTGGAAGTAGGGTGGAATGCTTACATTTATTTTTCCCCCTGCTACTCAAGATAGGGATTTAATATGTTATTCTGGGTATGTGGCCTACAGCCATTGCAGCATTTAGTGGAGGGAGGAGGAGGAGGAGGAGGATAGTTTGAGGATTTGGTTACAATAATTCTTTATGTCGTGCTGTCACATAAAGTCACAAACTGTCATAAGGAAAGGAGATAACACCTGTACAAAAAAGTTTTGTCTGATTTGCTTTTCTTCTTACAAGATTTTCTAAAATTGTGCTTATATCAGGCAAATTTGTACAAAATGTGTTGCTCATACCTATTTTGTACATAGTGGTTTAAACAATGTCTGGGATGGTTCTAATCCAAAAGGAATTGTTCTGTTGCAAATGGATAACTCTAGTCTTGGCATTTCCTAGAACATAATGCAGAGCTGGGTAAATCTGGACTGTTGCAAAAACCTGGGAAAGATACTTTTAGAATTCACCTATTGCTCCTGGCTCTTTTCTGAACCTTGGGAGAAAAATGTCACTTCCACTTTATAGATTACTAGATAGAATGTGAGAAAATATTTCTCTATGAGACTAGGATCAGCAGTGTTTATTACAAGATACTTAAGATGTGACACTATTATACTACAAATTTACTTCATGTGACACTGTGGTCCTATGCTTTATCTGATAGTAAATTTAACTACTGTAGATTTGGTAAGACTCTCTTTTTTAACAAATACATACCAAACTGGGACTATAGACCAGGGTGCACAGCTTAATTTATTGAGAGGGAGAGAATTGTAGAATTAAGAACAGAGACTAAGAAGGGCTGTGACCAAAAACAGGCTCAATCAGAAATTCAGTTCACAATCCTACATAGGACTGCACTGCATATTTTATCCTTTCATTGAATAGCCTTCCTCCTTAGATTTACATCCCTACAAGAAAAACGTAACTTATAACACAGTGCTCACTTTATTTGGGGACAAGTCATTATACTGCAAAAACTGATACCATCCTCCCTAGGGTCACACATAATTAATAAAATCCTAAGATACTAATTGTAACTATTAACAAAAGAAATATCCATTCTTGGTATCCTATAACCCAATGATATTTTGTGAAGTTCTTAGCAATCTCTCCTTCAGGCCATATTTTCCATTACTTCTTTATTATTTTACAGAAATGTTCCTCTCTTCACCATTATTAGGTATCGCAAATACTGTTAGATTAAACTTCCAGCATCCATAGGGTTTGCAGTTAATGTATGCAGAATGGGAGTAAGGAGGAGGAGGTCCATCAGCATCTGTATGTCATTTTTCTTGGAACCTGGGGGAGGGGGGGATGTCCAACTTCTCTGTGTTGTTCCATTTCTGAAATCAGTGAAGTCAACCCTCTTGCAAATTGCCCTTTTCTCAGAGCAGAAGATATATTACACTGGAAATGTCCTCCAAGTGTAAGCAGTAAAATCCACTAAATAATTTCTCAGTTCAGCTCCTCTTTGCTTGGCTTTGTGTGCAACTGGATTCCTAAACTGCAGGAAGGAATGGGTCAGAGAAATGTCTCTGAATGTCCAAATGCTCAGAAGGCGCCTCAAGATGTTCAGGGAGAGAATGGAAACGAGATCCTTGGAAAAGTTTCTGGTTATTAGGTGTCCTCCAGTGAGGCTCTTGTTTTGACAGGATCTGTGGATAAAACTCTTGCTGAGAACTGATTGCCACAGTATCATTTAAAGCCAAAGACAGGGGTAAACCACTTGACAACAAATTCCTAGATTTTAATTGTTTTTTTCCAATTTCACAATAACTCGGAGTCTGGTGAGGAAAGAAAAATAAAATCATATTTCCAGTAATGTATTTGTGGTAACTCAGAATTTCAGTAGTAACATGAAAACCCGAAATTTAAGAATCTATCATAAGTATAGAAATACACTTAGAAACTTTATGGTAATAAACATTAAAGAGAGATGAGCAGCACCTGGCCCATGGGCTACATGTGGATCTTGCCACCAGAGCAACTCCAGATTGTGAGCTGAAATTTGGTGGCAAAATTGTCCAGTTTTAATGACATTTTTTTCAAAGCCCCCTCCCCCCATTGCATACTATGAATCTGAAGTGAATATTTGAAAAGCTGACTTCATATTATTTATTTGTAGATAACCAAAAACACATGTATATAGCCTTCTAGAAGTGTGATTTAAAGACAAATCAAACTGAAAAATGATAGAGCTTGTGGCGGAGGGATTGTAACGAGACCATTTTAAAAATCAAACAATTCTGAAATCTTGAATTTATGGCTACTATTCTAGACAAACTGTAAAAACCCTGGTTTGGTTCTTAGCTAGTTTAGAATTAAACATATTTCCAAAATTACAGGACAAACTTCCACTTCTATTTTGCTAAAAAGAAGGCTGCAATATTAGGCACATCTCCTTGAAAATCAGCTGTGGTATGCACATGCTGAGTATGGTTTCTTGCACTGAACAAACAAATGATAAAAGGAAAAGGAAGTACAATATAGTCTGATGCAGAATAGTTTTTCTGTCTGCAGAATGTAGTTTCCCTGCCTTTTTCCCCCCCTTTTTTTCCCTTTCAACTGACCATGATTCAAAACAGACTATTATTTTAGCTCATTCCTTCCTTCCCCAGTCTGACATGACTCTGAGGCAATAAAGCTCTTATTTGCTTCACTGAAAAGGAATGATTCAGTGTCTTAGTGCCTGCATCTTACCTCTTTCAGGGGAGTCAGTTCCTCTTCCTCCAGGGAGGGATCAGGTTCTGTGTTCCTGAGGTTCATGCTGTACAGGGACAAGTTACGGGAGGAAGGAGAGATGGAACTGTATGCAGGTGGCACTTGAGACAGCTGGCGCTGTAGCAGCTGCAGAATGAGATTAATGTCGGAAGACATCCTGGATTCTAGTCTATATGAGAGAACACAGTATTTTCCCCTGAGGCATTTTGATCTCTGAGGCAGTACAGAAGATTGATTTAAGAACAGCTACAGTTTGTATAGAACTCTTTCAAACAGCAAGGAAAATGAAACTGTACAACACTAAAAATCAGGAGTCTGGTAGCACCTTTTCCAACTAACACATTTTATTAAAAGTTGTAAGCTTTTGTTTCTATTCTCTCTTTTGAAAACTTTAAATAAAATGTGTTAGTTGGAAAAGGTACTACCAGACTCCTCCTCATTTTTGCTATCATAGGCTAACATGGCTCTCCTCCTACAATGTGCAACTTTAAAAAATGAGCTTTATTTTAAGCTTCCAAAAGCTATTCATGCAATAAATTTGGTCATTTATTTTTCATGCAGGAAAAATTCACTTGAAATCCATTAATGCAAATGTTACGAGTATTCATGAAGGTAGACCATTTCCATTAAATGAAAACAAAAACATTCCAAAACCTGACTTAATCTCTTAATCAATATTATAGTCATTCTCAGGAAAGTTGTGACTGGGGTGCGGGTTGTACCAAGAAGGAGGTAACAGGAGGTAACATTCTACAGGCATAATCCTGTTCATAACACACAGGAGAGTAACTGCATTAGGAAAACAAGCATGCAGATGTCTGTACACAGGCAGCTACTTTTGTAGGCTTTCCCCATTTCTACATTGGTGGAACATTTGCAGCTACGAAGATGGAGCCAAGACTGCAGCTCCTTTCCTTGGCTATCCTATGAAGCACCTTTAATGTATAGAATCTATGAAGGGGGTTATTGTTGTTTTGCTTTAAATTTTAAAAAATGTTAGAAATTATTTAAAATAATAATAATAACTGGTTGTAAATAATGCTAGTTTTATATTTTTAAATGATTTATAAATCTATATACCTGCCAAACAATATACTTTATATTTTTGCCATACCCTTGAAATGATTTTTTTTAACTAAACTGACAAATAGTTTTATAATATTTCCTTGCAAATTAATGATACTGCATTTCTTTACAATAAGCAATACATTCCTTAACATCTCTTTTGGCAGTCTCCCTAAACCATAGAAACAATGCAGCAGGGGTCCACATTTTAGATATACTTTAGATATACACAATCTATTTTAACAGGAGGGCTATAATATCTACTTTATAGTTTCATTTTACTTTCTGGAATTTGGGGTGCTTTCTGGAATTCCAAAGCTATTAGAACTGGAACCTTATTTCCAGACCTCTGAGCAACTGAATTTACCTGCTAAGCTGTGCCTGCAGGCATTCCAACTTTGATTCAATCTGCCGTGGTCCGTCCTCAGAGTTTAGAGGCATCTCCAATGGGCTATGTACCAAGGAGATGTGCTGGAAAGGCTCCGACAAGAGACTGGGCTTTTTTTTCTCCCAGAATGTGAACAGGTTGGAAACATCCAATGATGTTGCTGGGAGTTGAAAGAAAATCAAGTTCATTATCGATATTCAAAAGGATATGATTTTGTTTCTATATGTATTTATGGTATTTCTATATCATTTTTTCATTAAAAAAACATTTTAATAAAACAAAACATCTATTTTCTAAAAAAATAGAAACATGATAAAACCAGATAAAAGCACACAAATGATAAATACAGAATTAAACACTAAAACTAACAATGATTAATGAATTACAATAATTAGAGTGGCTGATAAAAAAAGGAGATCAATAGAAGGCCTGTTCAAACTTGTTTTCATTTTGGCAAAACCTGTGAGGGTTTGCCTGTTTTCTGTTAGAAGTTACAGTAGTTTCATACAGCGGGCATCACTATTTAGTATGTCTACTTTTGCATTGCAGCCAGATGAATGTCAGCAGTACATGGCATGGTCACCAGGACATCCTCACCAAAATGTAAATATCAGGGAGTGCTGTAAAGAAGACAGTACCAAACTTATGTACCAAAAACATGGTAAAAACTTGGATTTTCCCTATTCTACCATTATACTCCATCTCAAAATTTCTTCCTCCTATTAATGAAGGACTCTACTTGTTAAAGGTACAACCTGGCCATATTTCAGAAGTAATGAATTAGAACATCTGTAGCCTACAGGGAAGGACAGGTAAACTAAAAATGTATTTGTGTGCATGTACATGCATGTAAATCTACACATGCTGGCTCAGTCTTAACATTGTTGTGTCCTGATGCTCTGCCAATGTTGCTCTAAAGTTGGCAGATTTCCTGACAAAGAACATCTGTACAGATATAACCAAATAAATTCCATACAATCAAGAATCCTGCAGAGTTTGTAGACTGTGTAGACTGCCTATATATATATATATATGGTGTGTGTGTGTGTTTCTGTGTATACACATATTCATGTAAAGACTGTTTCAAGTCAAGCTCAGTGCCTGGTGATTTCATGGATTCATCCATCAACTTTTCTGGATGATAATATGGAAATGGTATGCCACTGTGTTCTGGGATGTTTTTTGATTTCCCAGTTTTTTTTTAATATGTATGTATGTATGTATACAATTTATAGGCTGCCTGACTCCCATCAATTCTGGGTGGCTTACAATAAAAGTAAAAAATACCGTTTAGTTTACAGTTCACTAGTGTAGTCCTAGTGGACTCTATCCATGTACTGAGATCTGCCCCTGCTTCGCTTCTGAGCCCAGATAAGGTTGTGTGTGTGTGTGTGTAGGTTTGTTTGTTTAAATCTGGAGCCAAAAAGATAACAATATGGACAACAAGTAAGCCATTCTAGAAACCCATTCTGCAAACGTAAGGTCAGAACTGTTATGGAAATGTTAAATTCCTACATCTTTTCTCTGTTATATTTTATTCTTTTATGCTACTGTAGCTGTAAGAAAAATGCATTTTTTTCCTTGGTTTATATTGTCCTATTGATTTAAAAGTTATATACTGCGCATACTAAAGATGTATAAAGACCTGTATCAGTATGCTGTAGGGAGGAGGGTCTAACAAAGCAAAGAGAGAGATATCTCTATGCTAGCCTTCTCGCACTTCTGGAATACAAAATAAAGTATCATAGCCTTTTGCTCTGTCTGCAAGGGCTGCAGATTTCCTTAACACTGCTAAAAAGTGTATGTCCCCATTTGCCAACCATGTCTGAAGAGGAAAGTATTCTGGGCCCCTCTTGAGAAGGTATTTAAAAGATCAATACTAATCCTTTGATCTGTACTCTTTTTGGACATCCTGCTAAGCACACAAATGTTGTTGAAGGCAAAGGAGCAGTGATTTTGAGAGTGGGACCAATGAGCATGTCTTTTGTCCTCAACCTCCTTGATTTTAATCTATATAAGGATTGGCCAACCCTGTTTTGGTGGTGCATCTAGGGTTACCAGACATCTGGACAGGCAAAGGAGGACATGAATAGTTGCAAAGGAGGACAAATGGGGGGAAAGGAGGACACACTGACTGTTTAACTGCAAATTTTTTTTTAAAAGAACTTAGGCCTACATGTATATGAAATTACTTTTTCCACCATCACAAAGACTGGTTTTTCAATGGCAGGAATGTGCTAGAGACTGTTAGGAGGCAAAAGCCTTCAGCACATAACTGATTAAGGTCTTGTCAATTTCTGGCAGCAGCGCAGAAGGGTACTAATCAACTAATTAAGGTCAACAAGCTGAGCTTGTTAACATTTATTAGGTTAGGTTAGTACTTACTAGGGTACGTTAGCAGTTATTAGGGAAACGCTGTGCCTCAGGAAAGCTGCTCAGGAAGAGAAAGCTTGTTAGATACTCAAAAAGTCAGACTTATGTTTGATTTTAAGGCTATACCTGCAGGTATATAGCCTCATGACAGAGGACATGAGGACAAGAAGGAGGACATGTCCTCCTTTTGCTGGACAACTGGTAATCCTAGGTGCATCTATTGTGGGGGTTTTCAAACTGAATTTCATAGAAATGTAGGAGTTGAATAGATTCTGTGGGATTATGGGTGGGAAAAAGCCCGCTCCATGAGAAATTTGGGTGGGTGGGTGAGTGGGTGGCTGGGAGCAGCCTAAGCCGTAGTCCCTTGAGTAGAGGGTGTTTTTTTAAAAAAACATAGTCCCATGTGGGAGAGGGGTTTCTTTTCTTTTCTTTTCCACAAGGGAGGAAGGGGGGGGGAAGCTTTCCACAGGTGTAGAGGAAGGAGGTTGATTCCTTGATAAAGGTCTGCAGCAGCTGTTAAGAGAAAATAAAAGGCCAGTCAGTCCTGCGAAAGGGGACAGTGTGAGAGATGTTCAAAATCACTTCTCCTTGATTCTGTTTAGTGTAAGAGGGGTAGAGGAAAACTTTGGTAGGCTTTCAAGATTGTTATTCTATCCTAAAACCTTTAAGTACCTGGCCTGTAAACCTGATGAAGTCTGCTTCTTGACCTGGCCTACCTTAAAAGAGCTGACAGCAAGGAACTAAAGAAAAAAAGGGTTTAGTCCCTTGCAGGTTTTTTTTTCCTTTAGTCACTAAGATACAGCACTTGTCAGCTGACATTCATAAGCCCCATCCCTCTCATTCAGGGGTGCTGGGATTGATTTGTTTATTTTTTAAAAGCAAACTTGTTCTGCAGCCTGAAAAGCTTTGAAACCTCTTGATTTAGTGGGTGTCTGTTAGGATAAGCTTTTGATAATCATGATTTTTTAAGCCCTATGTGGTGGTCTGGGCTGCTCGGAGCCTTCAGGAATGAACAGCACAGAAGCCCCAGAAAATAAAAATAACAACAACAACAACAACACCCCCCAATCAGACAAATAAGTAGGATAAATGAAAAGGGCTACAGAGATGGAGGTTATCCACCTATTGATAGTACTCAACTCTGTGAGCTGATGGAATACTAAACTTCAGGCTACTAAAGGGAATGACTCCCTAGATGCACATTGTCCCACTCCCATTGTGGACCTTGCATTTTCTATGATGTTTGGTGCATAAATGAATTTTTAGTCACACTAACTCTTCTCCTGGAATCAAAGTAATTGCTTCCTAAAATTATATGGTACTTAATACTCATGATACAAACAATTGTGTCAAGTCCTATAGGGATTCTTCTCTATTCCTGCAATTAATGTACAGCTGAAAAGAGATTCTTGAGCCAGCCTTACCAATTAATCATAAAACTAGCAGATCATCTCGTCTCTACACCCAGCATGAAAACTAGCTACCATACCTGCACAGGCTAGATTTTCTTCAGTCACCAGTTTGTCAATGTTGGTGCCATCAGTGACCAGGTTTACTACAGTCGGGACAAAGTTGCTGTTTTCAATATCTGTGAAAGGATCAACCTTGGTGGGATTGGACATCTTGGCTTCCTCTTCACTCATTTGGGAGCAAGATGTTGTGGTACTATGCATGTCAGGATGCTGCAGTGGTATATACTCAGAGTATCTATGACATTGCTCCAAATCTGAGATGCCTGCATCCATGCTATCTGGGTCTGTAGTAGGTAGAAAGAATCCAGGTAAGCTTCATATATAAAAGTCTGACTGTGAGACATGATTAACTACTAATAGAATCTCTCAAACTTCTCTAAATACAATGGTCACAATTAGGCCATAAAGACATCTGAACATTTTCATATCCTGCATGGTGAGGAGAAACACAAAATATGTTGACCTATTGTTTCACATTCAGTATATAGGGCAGGAAAAATACAATTTATTTTTTGCAGGTTAGTTTTATAACAATAAAATAAGTTTAACTAGAATCTTTAAGCAAAGTATAAGCAGAGGTCATATATTTCTGCATAGGAATTAATAATGGGAAAAAAAATATTGGTCAAGCTTGAGGCATTTATCAACAACTGAAAGGAAGAATGCCTTATTTCTTATGATCTTAGATTCCTTATTTCAAATATCCTCAGAAGAATGCAGTGAGATAGATCATGTTTTACAGATGGAGACCTGAAGGGTGTAATTTGCACAAGACTGAATTCAAAGCCAAAGCCTACCATAATGCTTTTCTTCTTTAATCATAGATCCAGAGCACAACTAAGATGCACACTAGCAAGCTATTTTTGCATTACACATTACCCCTGATAAATCTGGGAGAGAGACTGAGGCCACATATTTGTTTTCATATACATTAGAATCAGCACTTATAAAGCCTGATTCTCCAGATGTTACTGTACTACAGTTCCTTTGTCCCATGCAGCAAGGTTGCATTGGCTGGGAGATAATAGGAATTGTAATTCAGCACATTTGGAGGGCCCAGATTGGAGAAGACTGCTTTGGGAATAATCACAAGATGGCAGTAGTGGACTTCCTACCTTCCTTCCTCTAATCTTAATGCCAGAACCCAGTAAAACTCCCAAGAGGCTAACTCACCAGTTTTGTTAGCTTGGCAGGAAGAATGTTTATGATGACCTGTTTGAGGATAGTTGCATGTGTAGTCTTCACTGAGTAAAGAACGAGGAATACTATCTGCCTGAAGGAAAAACATGACAAAAAATAGATGTAAAACATAGTGGAAAAAGCAGTTTTGACCAGCCAGAGCAATCCAAACTTCTTATAATTAACCTAATCCTTTGGGTAGCATACAAATAGGTTAAAATATTTAAATATTCATGTTTTTAAAAGAATATAAGAATAAATAAATCCTAACATTACATGTTGCTACACCAGTTTTCATTAAATCAATCTTACCAGGACTTCATCCTAGAATCTCTTGTCATTGGTGCAAAATGCCTTCTTCTATCACACATCTAAATTTGACAGGAATGATTTCCTCATAACAGAAAGCAATTTGTGGACAGATTTGACACTGAATAGTTCAGAAAGTAGATGGTGCCAAATAAAAACATTCAACAGCTCTATATCCATTTATAAATGCATAAAATTGCTAGGTTTCAAATAGGTGAATAACATAAAAGAAATAGGTGACTATCATAAAAGAAATGACTTATGTATCCAAAAGTCTGCTAGTTAGACTCAACCACTTCAATTAACGTGACCTACTTTCATGCCAAAAAAGATGAACTGTAGTTAATTCTTTTAATACAAATCTGCTTCTCCAGATCAATTTAGGTACAAGGAGTTTATGTATGTATAGTCTTGGTTAACCTTTTAAAAAATGCTTCTCTCTCATTCTTCCCATCTTCCCATCTTAGATACTCACATCTCTCAAGTTGAATGTTATCTCCAGATTGCTCCAAAAGTTATCTGAAAAGGCTGGGTACATATCCAAGACTTTCAGGAGATCTTCCCGGTGGATCTTATGCAAGTCACAATAAGTCAAGGCTCGCACGTCTGCATTGGATTTTCCAGGCCTGGCATACAGACTGATAGGCTCTCCAAAGATGTCATTCTTCCCTAAACAACACAGGCACTCCTGTTAAAGTACAGCAACCTTCCTGCTGCTGTCTTGAACTAGAACAATTGTTCAGTCACTCCTTTGGCTGGTCCTTGATACCCACTGACACATTACAGTGGAAATATTACAGAAAATTGTACAAATACAAATGATGACTGCCTTTCACTTGCACCTCCTACAGTTCAGATTAGGAACTATCCTATTCAGTTGTATTTATAAAAAATAAGTATAAGGAATATAAAGTACCTGCTACATTCATTTCTCCAGGTATCCCACAGTTTACTTATTAAAGAGATGGAAGGGGCTATTTAGATCACTGTTTCCAATTCCCCTGCTCAGTGCAGGAATCCAAACTTAACTCTCTCTGACAGATGGCTGGTTAGCCCACCACCTTGGTGGGTGAATGGTTCCCTCCCTCTAATATTAATGTAGAATCTGCTTTTCTGTAGTTTAAATCCATAGTTCTGCATTCTGCAATTTGAAAAATACGATCAAATTCTTCTCCAATCTTCTTTTCTCAAAGCTCAGTTCCTTCAACCTCTCTTCACAGGATTTGATTTCTCGTTCTTTGATGAGCCTTGTTCTTATCCCTCTCTGAAATTGTTCCAGTTTCTTTGAATCTTCTTAAAGGGCTATGCCTAGAACTGGATGCAGTATTTGATAATAGCAGAATAAAGAGGATCTATTTCTTCCCATGATTTAGAAGCTTTACTTCTACTGATGCTGCCTAAGATTTCATTTGCCCTCTTTTTTTGACCACATTATGCTGTTGACCAATATTTGGTTTGCAATTAACTACTATTCCAATATCTTTTTACATGTACTTTTAGTGAGTGAAGTATCCTATATCCATGCATCTGATTTTTGTTTCTTAACTAAAGAACTTTATATATGAATCTGTTAAATTTGTTTCTGCCAGGTTTAGACCATTCCTTTAATCTAAAAAATCACTTTGAATTTTGTTTCTGTGTTCTAGGCAAGGATTTGCAGATTTTGTGATACAGTGATTCCCCCTAAAATGATGAAATGAATTAGTGTGATCTGCCCTGAATACAACAAATAATTTCATTAGGGTTTGGCAAGAAATAAATATACCACTTTGAATAATTAAATTTTAAACTATAGACCAAATAAACAATGATAGAACCTTACAACTTTATAAAATGAAACAATTTCATTTTGTATAATAAATAAGTAAAAAACTGATCCCAAAGAACATTTAAAATCTTATTATTTATATATTATGGCCACCTATCTACCTATCTAAAACAAATCTATTAATGGGAAGGATGAGCTTGCTTATTTTTGCATAAAAGAGTTTCTCCTTGCCTTAAAACACCTTTTAAAAAAAATGTTCCTTGCAAAACACTGGCTGTAAGTTGCTGTTCGTAGCCTCTATCCCTGTCCAGCCATCTTGAGATAACAATCACAGCCCATCTTATTTTCTTTCTGTTTCTTCCCTGCATTGTAATTTCTCTGCAAAGTGACTATCAGACCAGACAGACTTTTCCATAGAAACCTTGTGCCCTCAATGCATGATTATTCCTTTAAAGGCAAATGTAAGGTTTAAAAACTAAAAGGAACATTCAGGCCTGATGTAGGGCTCTGGAACAGTTGAATTGCTTTTGATTTAGCACACATTTGCATCAAACTAATAAACCTGCTTGGAAAAGAGTGCAAAAAAGGCATTGTCTTGTAACCTTCCATATACTCTCACAGCTATTTTAAGGTATAAGTTATCCCATTCCATTTCATCTCATTTGCAAATGTTATAAACATTCCTTTCACCAATTCACCCAAGTCATTAATAAAACTATTGAAGAGTAGAAGGTAGAACATTTGTGGCATTCTACTCATTACTTTTTTCCAGTCTGATGAGAAACTGTTGAGTATTCTTTGAGTACAATTTGTGAGTCAGCCATATATTTACTTGCCATCCAGCACACACTTAATTAGGTTGCTAATCTGAATGTCATGGGGTATCTTGTCAAGTTTTTGTTGAAATCAAGGTATTATAACTTTGACATATTCAGAATTTATTAAGCAAGTTACTAAACAGAAAATGAAATACAGTAACATGAGTTTGAGAAGACATTATTGACAAATTCATGTTGATTGATTACTATTTTTTTTTTTGTGCCTTCAAGTCAAGCTTGATTCCTGATGACTGCCTGGACAAGTCCCTGCAGTTTTGTTGGCAGTGTTTTAAAAAGTGTTTTTTGGAAGGGTCAGAGTAACTGGCCCAAGATCACTTCATGCCTAAGGCAGGACTAGAATTCACAGTCTCCCAGTTTTTAGCCTGGTGCCTTTAATCACTACACCAAACTAGCTCTTGACTGAAAAATACTGCTAGGTAATGACTACAGGTAGTCCTCATTTAGCGACCACAATTGGGACTGGCAACTCAGTTGTTAAGCAAAGCAGTTACTAAGTGAAACCATGACTGTGCTTATGAACTTACTTCAGTTTTCCTTTGCTTTACAGACCTGTGAAGGTCGTAAATGTAAGGATTGGTCATTAAGTTACTTTTTCATCGCTGTCATAACTGTGAACAGTCACTAAATGAGGCAGTTTCTAAACAAGGACTACGTGTACATTGTTTTCAAGGTTCTTACAGATCAATCTATATATTAACTGCTCTAGAATCTTCCAGATATCCATGTCAGACTGACTAGTCTGTGGTTCCAACATCCTCTTTTTCTCCCTTTTTGAAGGTAAGGACAACATTTCCTCTCCATCATCTGACACTTCATCGATTCTTCAGGACTTCTCAGTAATAATACATAGATTCAGCCAGACCATCAGCTAATTTCTTCAGTACCCTAGAATGCAATTCACTTGGCTTTGAAGATTTAAACTAATTCAAAGTAAATATGTTTCTATCAATTTGAGGCTTCAGTCCTGCCCCTTTCTTGTGTTCTTTACAATTGCCTGGTGAAACACTCTGTCCTTGGAGAAGACTAAACCAAAATAGTAACAAGTATTGCTGCTGTTTCTTGTTAGTGGTTAGCCTTTTGCCAGATGTAATGAATAGATGATACAGTGATTCTTTTCCTTTCATTTTGAATGTATCTAAATAAGTCCTTTATGTTGTTTTTAGCATCCTTCACTAACCTCAACTCATGCTGAGCCTTAGCTTTCCTGATACCATCTCTGTAGTTCCATGGTATCTGTATGAAAGCTTCCATGGTGAATTGACCTTCTTTCCATCTTTGAAAAAGAGCAGCACAACAGCACTAAGATACCCTCTAGTGTTCTCATGCAAAGCGATAAATATACCTTGCTAAATTGATTTTACAGGTTAAGAAGGAGAATCCATGCACACCAAAATTGTACTGTTCTTTTGCCAGACGTAAATAGGATAAAGGATTTGCTTTTCTCACTTGAATATGTTGAAATAAACAGCAGCATTGCCCTTTCCCTTAGGGAAAAATGGAGGGCAGAGGTTGCAATTTGACATTTCCCCAATGGCCTGGTGGTCAACCTCTACTTGCTGCAGAGGAACCAATGATTTGAAATGAATCCACCTCCCCCCACTTTCTAAAACAATCCCCCACCCTGGAAATTTTTTTCACCTAGAATAGCCACTACAATGTCCTCCTTGAGGATCTCGATGGAGCCACGTGAGATAAAATAAAGAGTGGTAAGGACATCTCCATAATGCACCAAGGTATCACCAGGAGGTGCATGTGTCGTCTTGAACTTCATGGCCAAGGCACGTAGGCAGCCTTTGCTAGCTCCTCGGAAGGCCTTGCAATTTTGGAGAAGGGTGCGATTGAGGTGGAGGCAGATATCAGCTTGCAGGCAATCAGGGAATCCTTTCAGCACCTGTGTGAAATGAAAGCAGGTACAGATAAGCCGGTAAATTCAGTGAATCTTCCCATATCCCAAAACCATGTCCTGTAGAGGAATATATTTAAGATGCATTGTTTATATAGATGGACAGAATTAAACTAGAAAATGCCCATCTCAAATAACCCAGAACCTGAGGCATCAGGACATTCCATGAGTGGATAAAAATATTTCCAGTTTGTTCTACAGATGTTTGCTTTGAACACAAGCTGTGTTCCTCAAGCTGGTATCCTCTAGATGTGTTAGATTACAACTGGCAATTGTAAACCAACCAGTCTAAGGGCAGTGGTTTGGAAAAAGCTAGTTTTAGAAGCATAGGCCAACTGTGTGTTCTCATCTGATATCTATATTTTTATATCTCTCTACTCAGTATTGCCAAGCTTCTTTTGAAAAGAAGGGAATAAAAAGCAATGGCCAAATGATTCCCATTGGTTGTCCCCTGAGAGCTAAGAAATATCAGCACGGTTCTACTGATGCTACTATTGGAAGACCTGAAAGATCAGGTTAGGGATAGATTGTCATGGAGAAAATCTATCTATATGGTCACTAAGAGTCAACAACAACTTGATGGCACATAATCAAATCAATAAAAAATCTGCTAACACTACTGCATAATGACTTTGTTCATACATTTTCTAAATCATGTTGTATGGAATAGGCCACAATGGGCTAGGTTCAAATAACACAGTAAACCAAAACCAAGGAAACCACATCATGGCTTAGGATGTTGTATGAAACAGAAGTTTCAGTAAAGGAAGGATGATATTTTAATAAAGCATGATGTCTGTGAATTACTACAGCAAGTGGATAAGTGTTGAATAAAATATATGTGTTTTGACTCTGAATTTGTCAGCTAATAAAGATGATTTTTTATTCTTTTTTTAAAATATGCATTGCATTACAGACATACGTCTTCCAAATTTCAGTCATCACTTCCAGCAACTAAACATCTAATATATGGAACACTCAGCTATTACAGTTCTGCATCTTGCTTCATTCCATCTAATAGCTTTTATCCATCCTGGAATCTATTTTGAGAATGAGAATAGCTCCCGTCCCCAGTGAGAAAAAGTAATTATTCCTTCTTTTGCAGGGATAACAAGTCTTTTCCCTTCAAATGCTTCTCGAACTTTGCTATCAATCTCTCTTTTCCAACAGTCTAATTAAAACAGTCTAAAGTTTATTTAAGGACTGCCCTATTCAGTTTTTGCCTAGCAGTCAGCTATGAGAAGAAAAAGCTAAATCAATACAGTTTTGTTGCTCACGCTCAGGAAAAACTGACCTACCTTAGAATGATGACTGTCATGATTGTTACCTCATTGTTAGAATGGGGAAGCAACCAGATAACACTGCAGTAGCACGAAAAGGGCTTAATTTCCAGTTCACGTGTACTCATGGGGGGAGGGAGGAAAATGGAGGATTAGTTTGCTGCTACTCTCAGATCAACATGTGCACTCCAATATGATAGAAACTTCTCCCTCATGGCTGTCATATCTTTCTACAATCCAGCTTCACTGGGGTTGTAAATTGAAGTAATTTCCTTCAACATCATCTATGTAATGGTGCCAAGCCAGACAAAAAGATTTTATTTATTTATTTGTTTATGTGTAATATTTATTTGGCCACCCACATCACAAAACGTGACTCTGGGTGGCATACAATCAAACCATGAAAACAATTTAAAAAAACATTCAACAAATACAAAAATTAAAATTATTATTAAAAGGCTAGGAGAGAGCATCAAATATTATGTACAATGATGCCACCTCATCAGATCACCATTCCCTTGTGACCCCCCAGGCCTGTTGACACGACCAGGTTTTAAGGGACTTCTGGAAGGTCGGCAGAGATGAGGCCAGTCTCACCTTGGGGGGGGGATGATGTTCCACAGTGTGGGTACCACAACAGAAAAGGTCTATCTCCTGAGACCCACCAAATATATGTCCCTAGCTGATGGTACCCTTAATGTGCCTTCTTTGCTAGATCTGATGGGGTGGGCTGATGTAGTAGTTGGGGAGATGCAAACCTTCAGATAACCTGGTCCCATTCCATAAAACACATTTTATGACATCAACATTTTAAAGATCAAAACCAACACCTTAAATTGGACCCAGAAGCAAACTGGCAGCCAGTGCAGCTCATGGAGCAGAGGTGTAACATGGGCTGCTCTAGGAGCACACATAACTGCCCACACCACTCTATTCTGTACTAGCTGAAGCTTCTGGATACTCTTCAAAGGCAGCCTCATGTAGAGCACATTACAGTAGTCCACTTAAAATTTTCCTTTTAAATCTGAATTTTCTCTGAATGCAACCAGACTTCATTGCTAAGATAGACATACTCCAAATCATAATAATACTAATAATGGTTGTGAAATGGTTTACAAAGCATTCATATCTAGCTTGGAGACTTTCAGGTCCCAACAGTATACTGATACTTAATAGTTTTCTCAAATGCTAGGATTCTTCAGCTGGTATGGATGACAGTAGGAACATGCAAATATTCACTTAAGCCCCAATTCAAGGTTGCTTCCAAAATTATATTTTGCCAACATGCATGTATTCCAAGGATCTGAAGCTCACATCTTTTCTGACTCACCGCATTCATGTCGATACCATTGGTGTAGGACCAGGCATGCTGAAAATATTCTTCAAGGCGTTGGCGTAGTGGATTGGGGATTTGGTGGAAACGGATGAACTCCTTGACCCTCAGCATCTGGGTGTGGTAGCGAGCTGTGCCAGAGTACAAACGCTGGATGATGGCAGAAACATTGCCAAAAATGCTAGCATACATGAGAGCTGAAATAAGAGGACAATTATCAATACTATGTGTGTGTGTGTGTGTGTGTGTAAGGACTAGTATCTATTTGCATGGTGCCTTTGAAAGGTGACAGCACTTCAATCATTTCATGTAGCACCCCACTGAATGGCTCACACAGTCCAGGTACCAGGCAAAGTTTTATTGTTGAGATGTCATAAAATGTGTTTGTATATGTGTGTATTTTTTGTACTCCTAAAAAGGGCAGAGACCTTTTTCATATGGGAAAAATCCTTCTTCTACCCCATTATTTTAGAATAAAATAATGCAGAAGCCCTGTCTACAGTTGATTTGACTAGAGCTGGACACAAATGTCTTTTTTGAAACTGAGTGGGCAATTTATCTTACTTGCTCTAGAAGATGGAGAAATTCACTGCAGGTAGTGCTCAGTTAACAATGGCAATTGGGAGTGGAATTGCCATTGCTAAGTGACACAGTTATAAAGCATGATGTCTTGGCGTCAGCAATTCCAGCACTCCCCGTTGCCATCCTTAAGTGAATCACCATGGGTCATTAAGTGAGGATGTCATGAGGTCACCATTTGCGACCTCCTGCTGGCTTCCCCATTGACTTTGCTTGTCAGAAGCCAGCAAAGAAGATTGCAAATGGTGATCATGTGACCATGTGGATGCTGCAACAGCCAAAACTCCAAGGACCAATTGTAAGTAGCACTTGTTCAATGCCATTACAAGTTTGAACAGTCACTGAACAAGTGGTCGTTAAGTGAGGAACACCTGTAACCATTTCTAAACGGCCTGACTCTTTTATGGTAATAACAGCATGAAAACAAAGACCAAATGGGAGCAAAGGAGTTCCCTTTTCCAGTGTAGTATCTTGCTTTTCTTGATTTCTGAGCCAGGGTAAATTGCTAGTTAGTTGGAGGGAGCAGAACTCCCTTTTTGTCAGACTCCCTCATCACAGCTGCAATGCTACTTAAAGCCTCAGGCAAAGCATTACCATTATACCACATTGCCTTCAGCCTCTTCTGTCTTCCTGAATGTCTTGTGCAAGCTCTATGGTTCATCCTGTCTTCTTTAAAACATGCAACAGATTGGGGCAGTGCAGACACATAGGCAATTTAAGGGCTTCTCAAGAGGGCCAAACTATCTAAGGATATGACTGACTCCCTAGAGAAGCAAGGGACTGGCATTTCCTTAGACAAAACAGGAACTAAAAGGAATGCTCAGGGAACTAAATATTGTATGTGCACACAGCAGCACACATGGTGGCCAGCTTTACAGACAGTTTTAACATATTGATAAAGGTCTAACAAGAGAACCTATTTGTATAGCAGTCCAACAGTATCTGCTATATTGCAGTAGGGACAAATGAAGTCTGTGTGTGTGTGTGTGTTACATATATAGGTAGTTATAATGTGTGTTAGTATGCATGCTTTTGTCTGTGGATGTGTGCATGTGAGACAGATTGAATAGATTCAAATGGATTTGATATGATCTCCATTAATGTGTGTGGGAGTTAATTGCATCCCTAACACCATTTCCCCCCTTGTGACTTACAGCCTCTTCTAATGTCACCCAGCTATTATTGAGGTGATATAAAGCCTCTCTTCATTACTCTTATATCAGCACAATAACAGTTGGATGAGACTAGAAGATGCTATAAATCACTAGGGAGGAAATAGCCTCAGTCAGGGCAGGAAGAATTCCAATAAGACCTTCCCTTATCAAGCTGAGTTAAAATACATTGTTGAAATACATTTACTATTTTATTTGTATGATTTCTGCTGATGACAAATCTAATGTTCGTACATCAGAAAATCTCTTCTTTCCACCTACAAGATAGTACAGGGATCACTGGGATCAAATGTTCCCAACAACTTCTGGAACAGCTCCTACTGACAGCAATAGAAAAAGACAGTATCTATATTTCTTTATTCAGAAATATTCTTGCTCATAAAAGGATATTGTGCACTATTTATAAAAGGCCTTTGCTTTGTGGCTTCTGAATGAAGGTACTGTAGCCATTGTTCCAACAGCAACACTGAATTCTAAAAGAAAGCCGGAAGGATGATATTTTGAGTTAAATGAAAAAACAGAGATTGACCAGTTTTAAAACCAACTGCAACAAGGAAGGCCACCTTCCATGATAACAAAGAAAACTGGCGAATAGCCAAGGGTTCAAAGGAATGTGCCATTAGTATGGGTAATGAGAAGCTTTGAGAGTGGTGAAGAAACCAACAGATACTGATTTTGTACACTGCTCATGAATCATTAAGCTGATGAGTGATAAAATACTTTCAATCCTGGTATGAAATGCTGAAATTCCCAAAAGGAAGATTGGAGGAGGAGGAGGAAAAACCGTCCTCCTTGAGGAGAGGAGAAAAATCAGTCCATAGTATTAAGTTGGATAAGCTCCAGATCTGGCTGAGAAAAGTGGTGCCATTCATGCTTTTATTCTACAATAGCACAATAAGAATACAACTAGCAGCATCTCATGTAATCTCTGAAATGACTTTCATTGGTAGAGGAATTGGTGGAAAGAGACAAAGGAGGTGCCAGTCCAAAAAACAGAAATGTATCTTGCACTGACTAACACATTTGAGGACATTGGACACTTCATCTGGAGGTAAAATGATCAACCCTGGAAGTGTCCCACCTGTGAAAATGTATTCTAGGATAGATTTCCTGAGCCAAATATTCATAGGAAAAACACTGGGGATAACCGAAAAGATCTGCAAGGCAGCTGTACTTCTCAGGTAAGTAGATTGCTGCTGGGAAAATAGCACCATTCTCAAACAAGGCAAATAAGATTGAGAAACTGAGGTATTTTATGGAGATATTGCGTGATAGTTAAACTCTCCACGATAACCTGTACTACCCAGATGATGAAGAAAGTCCTCAAATATTTTGGCCACCTTGAAGGTTATGAACGGTTCAGATTATTTATATGGTGCTGTCAAGAACCCTACTCCGATGAGGAAGAGGAGGAGTCATCACAAGAAGTGGAACCAGCCTCATGGTTTTCACCCTGGACCCAGCAGACACTGACTAGTCCACAAGCCTCCTCATCCAACCTTCAAGATCACCCTCATTTGAGGAGAGGGCAATAAAAGGTAAAGAGGAGTAGAAGTACTGGGTTATACTGGGAGCCAGCTGGACCTGGCAGGGCTATTCAGGAGTACACTGCTGGAGGAAGCCAGCCCTGATCAGGGCCAGCTGAGTTTGTGTGTTTGTGTGTGTGTGTGTGTGAGAGAGAGACAGAAAGAGACAGACTTCTAGTATTTAAGGAGCAACCTGAGCTCAAGATAACTGAAACAACACCATCCTATGAAGGCCTCATAGAATTCCTGCCTTGAAAACTTGTAACTTCTAGATTGTTTCCTAAACATCTGACTTGGTTTGCCTTTGGATTTGTTCTCTTATAACCTTTTGTTCTTTATGCATTCTTTATGGAGTGCTTAGAATTCAATTCTTGAAGTTCAGGGCCATTATTGTAATGGGCAGAAGGAATAACCTTGAGGAACAGGAGGAGCCACAACCAAGACAACGGTCAGGTAAAAGAAGTCTGAGTCTTGAGCAGAAGTGTAATTTAAGACAGCATCTCAGACATGACCTTTCCTAGTTCTCATGAAGATAAGGTGCGGGGGCGGGGGGGGAGAGAAGCGCATTCAGACTGGTGAGATTCTGTTTCTATAATCTTATAATAAAAGTAGTATTAGCTTGTGTGTCTTTGGTTTCCAAGTTTGGTCTTCAGGCTAACAATAGTAGTTCCCACAGGCAGTTGTGATGTACTTATGTGGAAAAAGTTTGACAATCTGTGCAGGAGCCTGCACAATTGTTCTGTCCTAGACCCAAAAGAACACACACACACACACACACACACGTCCATATGCACAGAATGTCTGTCTATGGCAAGGAGTTTACTCCCACAGTAATTCCAACAGAAAAATCTCCAGGCCAAAAGTCAAGAGGGAATTCTCAGGTAAACATTGACAAAAACATCTTGCTAAAAAGGATGTTATAACAACGAACAACAACAAATTATTATTATTATTATTATTATTATTATTATTATTATTATTTAAAAACAAAACAAAAATTCAAGAGCTCAGCACTGCCTGAGAAGAAATAGATGGAGAATGCTCCTCATGAAGTTGTTGCTGTGATGGGGAAAGATGTACTGAGATACTTTATGCTACTTCTGGTAACTGTAGCAGCATATGCAATAGGCAATGCAGCCCTGTCATAAACTCAGCTTTAGAATGTGCTGAAAAGATCATCTGCATATGGGAAAATCCATATGCATGATACAGAGATCATGATAAGCATATATGGATCCTAAGATGTGTTTCTGTACCATCTGTATGGGCCAAACTTTTGTTTTGCACTCAAAATCTCTATATGTTACTATGTGGATTCTTTCCCACCCTCCCCAATTTGTTACACACACTCTTTATTACCCAGTTGCAATCTGCATTACTAAGTGTACTCTGAGTCTTTGCAAGACTTGAGAATTGATAACAGCCTAGATATAGTTGGTTCCTCCTATGGTGATTCCTTCAAGCTATTTATGGTGATTCAGCTGTCTGCCCCACTAACTCCAGTGGATATCACTAACACAGTATCTCAATGGAAGAGTAGATTTTGGATTCATGCCAGGAAATTTCTGACATGTTTGGAAGGAATGTTTAAGGAAAAAGGGAACGTTGCTATTGCTGGGAAGGAGATACAATTAAATTTAGAAAGAAGGTTCAGCAGCACTTACAGCCAATCAGCATGACGCAGATGGAAAAGATCTTCTCAGAGTTGGTATTGGGTGAGACGTTGCCAAAGCCCACACTAGTAAGGCTACTGAATGTGAAGTAGAGTGCAGTCACATATTTATCCTTGATGGAGGGGCCAGATGAGAGGTCACTGTCATTGTAGCGTTTGCCAATCTGGTCACCGAGGTTGTCCAGCCATCCAATCTTATGCTTCATGTAGGGCCGCTCCACATTGCCAATGGCATACCAAATGCAGGCTAGCCAATGGGCAATGAGGGCAAATGTGCACATGAGCAGAAAAAGTACAGCAGCCCCGTATTCTGAATAGCGGTCCAACTTGCGGGCTACTCTCACTAAGCGTAAGAGCCGTGCAGTCTTTAGCAGCCCTATCAAAGTTGTTGTCTAGAGAGGAAGAAGAAAGAAAGTGTGCAGAAAGCAAAGAACAATGAACTAAGTGGCAGGACTTCTGGATCTTATTTCCTTTTTTTATAGGCAGACATTGAATCAATCTAAAAGATGCATGAAAATGTCATACTGGAAGCCTTGCAAATGCATTCTTCTTTTTTTAGAGAGAGGAAAAAAGCATAGACAGGAAATAATTTCCAGACACTGAAATTAATGTCTTCTAAAATGCAGCACATTACCTGTCCATGTACATTTCACTTTTCTGCATCTCAAGGCGTCTGTGTGATTTTATGAGATGTTACTATTATTCTCCAATAGCCATCCCTTGATGTCAGTCTCTTCTAACTTTTTAAACTCCAGACAAATTCTATCTCTGCTCCAAAATAGGCTCTAGACTGCTTTCTAGATGAGAGCATTTAAAACACCCAGAAATCCCAACAGTGCCTACAAGCATTGCTGATCTTATCCAGAGTCCTCTAGGTATTGGTGCATATCAGTTACATCATTGGCATTATAGCAATAACTAGAGGTGTTTGGAAACTCAGAACACACCACACAGGCCACAGCCTGCTTAGAGCCCTTTAGGAAAAAATGCATGCTTAAAACACCTGATAGTAAGGCGTATAAGCAAAATTATTCCAGGCACATCCTCCTCTGGAAATTTTCTTCAACCCTCTAAAAATCCACAACACCAATTCAAAAAAATCCCTCTTCCAATTTCAGTATGTTCACCTGACAACTGCAACAAGTCACATGCTGTCCTCAGTGTAAAAGCTAAATGTGTATATCTCACCTCATCAGATCCAGAGCGGAATATGAGTAAATCAAAAGGAATGGCAGCTACCATGTCAATGAGAAACCAGCCTTTGAAATAGTGGATAGCAATCTTTGCTGGATGGCTGACTACCTCATCATTCATGTTCACGTAAGTGGTGCGGAAGTTAATGATAATGTCAATGATAAACATGATGTCCACAATGAGGTCAATTATGTAGAGGGGGTCACATGTATAACTGCAGTCTGACTGCTTCTCCTCTTGTTCTTCATTGAGCAAGAAGGCAGCTGAGTAGGGGGTGAAGACAGCTGTATAGATGACCAGCAGTAGGATAAGCCAGTCCCATACTGCCTTGAAGGGACTGTAGTGCAGGATGGTCCATCGGTGGATGCGTGGTGCCTGCAACTTGTACTCAGGGAGGACATCTGCTCCCAGTGACAGAACCTGTCAGAGAGAGAAACAACATGCAGTTGCAGGACAGCTATATCCAGGACTGTATAAATATGACATTGAAATACAGCAGCTATAATAGTCTGTCTAAAAAGAACACATTTGCATAAAGTTACAGTTTATATGCTTTGCTTGATGCTAAAGAAGAATAGAAAATAATAGAAAAATATATTTGCATGTAATTTTAATAGTAAGAAAGATTCATAAAAAGGGTGTTTATTGGTTTTTGGAAAGTATTATATTACTGTATTCTTAAAATTGTATATTACCTCAATGGCTCTGTGGGGCAGAAAATTGGTTTAAAATATCTGTAATGAAATAATAATTAATAATTTTAGATGAGAAAAGAGAGGCAACAGGTATGGAACCCAGATTCCCCAGAACATCTTAATCAGACTCCCACATGAACAGGCAGAAGAAAAGGCAATTGGATGGGGCCTGTAGGAAATCAATACTGTCAGTAATATGGAACAGAGCTTTAGGGGCTCTCTAGATAGCTAGGAGGAAGAGCAAATGGATTTAGCAACCATCAGGTTTGACCATATCTATGACCTTCAGGAAAAGCCAAACAGACCAATCTGAGGCTGTGTAGCGCTACAGCTAGTAAGAGTGACCAGCACACCTCCAGTAGTCAGCAACTGTTTAAGTTACGTCCACAGTTGTTTTCTGTTTGCCAGCCCAACCATGTCTCCCTCATATGCAATTGATTGATTGCCACTATCTCCCAGTTATTTCTGCAAGCAGACTTAGTAACCATCTTCCCTTTCCTCTACTTCATTGATCACATGAGCAGTTGATAAGAAGAAGATTTTTATTGATTAATCAGAAGACCATATCAAAGTCAAACCACAATGTCACATGCAAAAGGGCAGCTGATAAGAGAATATTGAACTTTTGGATCTTTCCTCTGCTATTAATGTAAGAGCAAGTCAACAGGCAAGATCCAACAATTTTGCTCTTAGAGTGCAGTGTGTAATGGAGAGCACAGTGCCTTCTCCTACTGCATGCTCATGGTAAAGATTGATGTGTCAAATATTAAGGGAGGATATCTCCTTAGTGCTAGCTATCATATATCAATGCCGTAGAAGCTGCTCTTAACCGAGAAGGATAGATCCTCACAAAGTCTTATTAACTAGATTTATTGAAAGGATAAAAAGAGAGTTAGATTACAGAAATCTTGGCAACTGGTTATGTTTATTTAGCACTCCCTTTATTTCTAGGTTTGTTAGGGTGAAGATTATTTGATCCTCTTGCTTTCTCCCTGTTGATGAAGTAGGGAGAAAGCTACCCATTTTCCTGATAAAGAAGGAATGTATAGATACTCCAAATTAATATTATTTTGCAAATTGCCATCCTCTTTCCCAGGCTCTGAAAAGTCCATTGCATCATAATTGCCAAATTTGATGCCCTTCAAATATATTATATCATCTCCCATCATCCCCAATCAGCCCAGTCATTGTTGTAATTTAGCATATCTTAAAGGTATGCTAGGAAAGATGTGGAAAGTTGAAGAAAGATGTGTTAAGGGCTCAAGAAGATAAGAATAGGCCAACTCTGTGTTCCATTTTGTTTTATGCAAAATAAAACAAAATGTACATTGATAGAATATACAATCCCATCTCTTGCTCAGGAAAGCAAAAACATCTCTGGAAGTGATGTCCTCTTCCTTCTTATTGCAGTCCAGCACAGGCTCAGCTTACAGAAGCTTTTTGACAGGGCCCAGGTGAGCAGAGAGGTTTAGCAAATTGGGAATAATATGAAAAGATCAACCATTCATTCATTCATTCATTCATTCATTCATTCATTCATTCATTCCAACATATGCAGAATATTTGTTATATACACAACTTCTCCTACAAAACATAATTAACATTTGCCATTTTTTAAACCATAAGCAGTTTTTAGAAAGATTAATTTTGTAAGTGGCAAATAGCCCAAATCCACCAACTCTATATTCAGGAAGTCTATCCACATCCTCATAGATATAAGGATGCAAAGCACATCCATGAGAATGGACAGATAGAAGATATCAGGCCAGCAAGGTTTTTCCTTAAAGAATCCCTACTCTCCAGGAAGGGTCAGTTAGGCTGAGGGACTACTTTAACGGCATCTTCCCCAATTGTCTGTTCCTCAAATGCCTTGGACCTCAATTCCCATAATTCCCAACCATCATGGAGAAGGCCAAAGCAAGAACTTCAGCAACCATACTGGAACAAATAATCTATTATCTTAGAAATGTCCACTGTTATGCAAGACCTGTCTCTGAATACTCTGAATGCTGAATACTGTGAACTTTATATGTATTTTGGTCTGCTAGGATGTTACACTGTCTGCCTGTTGGTTCCTACTCTTGTTGTCTTGCATTATTGTCCAGTTTACTTTCTGTAAGTGCTATTCCTTGGCAGGATTTTCTCTGTGTGTGTGTTTTGTGGAGAGGGGTAGGGTTGAAGATTTGGCCTGGACTTTTGGCTTGCTTTTTGTTCTTGCCTCATGTTTTGTGCTTTGGTTTTTATATGGTTCCACGGCTCTGATTGTTGCTACTCTCTACTGTGATTCTGCTTTGTCTTAAACTTCAGCTGTCTGACACAGATGTAGACTCTGATTTAGAGCAGGAGGGAGGGAGGCAGTGAAAAGCTTCTCTTCTACTAGAGATGAGAGGACAACTTCCAAATTCCAGAATCCCTAGTGAGGAAACTAGTGTTGTGTCTCATTTCCATTAGAAAGAAGATCCTCTGAGGAAATAACATGCATAGCATCACTTTCCAACTTGTAATTTTGAAATCAGCTATCCCAATTCTATGTGCAGCAAAAATGATGCCCAAAGGATAAATTTGGATTATCCCATTCCCAGGGAAAGTCACTGTGCTGTCAGTAGAAGAACATCTGACATTTCCTTCTCCTTCACTGTTGCATAGATGGTGACAGTGGTTGTTTTCAAATGGTCTAGGTAAGCACAGGAGAAGGGCACAATTCACCTCAAGGGCACAGCCCAGTTCCTCTTCTTCTTAGACTGGTCCTCTCTCATCTTGAGGAAACTCAAGTATTTTTTTCCCTCTAGTCTTTATATAATTTTCTGGATTTGTTTTCCTGAAAATAGCCTGAGGAACTTTTGTCCATGTCTGTTCAGTGCATGCAGGGATCCTAAATTTCCATCTTGAGGTCTCAACAAACATCCCTCTAATTCCACACTATATTGCCACTGCAAATTCAATTGTGATAGTGGACTGGGAACCAAGGAAGCTTATTCAAAACTAAATAGGTTAGATTTTAAAATGCCCCAAGAGTCTTTACTGTTTTGTTTAAAATAAAGCTGTTTTAAGCATCTTCAATATGAAAACAGCTCTAACCCAGGATACCATAGGTTCCTAAAATTCTTCTTTATTTCAGTATACTGCATTTGGAACAATAATCAAAGGGACTCCTTGTCTGTTCTCTTGTGGAGGAACAAGAATCCAAATGCCCTAGATTTCAAAAGTGATTTTCACAAACTTTCACAACCTGCCTCATTCATCTCTCTCTCTCTCTCTCTCTCTGTGTCATTCTCTCTCAGCTTTAATTTTAAGTATAGGATTAGTGAATTCATGAAATATCTTTATTTTTACATTTATTTTTATTGCTTCATTTATAATCTGTCTTGCCTCAAAGGACACTGAAAATGCCTAACCCTTGAAATAAAGAGTGAAGGGAATCCAGATCTTTATGGTCACATGCTTTTGCTTACTGGGATAAGTACCAATCTCTTCCCTTCAGTGGATTTATCTAATAAACAGTAACAATCTAAAGAATATGATGATTCAAAAAGGATTTAGAGGTAGGAATTTGTATTCAGTAGGCTTGTCAGTGACAATACTATCATTTGTCTCTTATTTTGGAGGAGGGTGAGGGTATTAATATATGAATACAAGAGGGTAGTCTGCTTGCAGTAAATTAATCTAGAAGAAAAGAAAGTGATCTACCCTTGATAGATTCTATCTGCCCAATCCTCTGTGCAGTTCAAAACAAAAAGTGGATCTAGCAATGTCATTGCCACAGTTATGATGGTGTAGCACAACTAGCACAACAAACACCACAAGAAGTGACAACTACTGGTCTCTGGTCTAATAGGAAAGTACTAGTAAAACAACAGCTACAAAACAAGAGGCTATGTGGCTGTTATGGGAGGAATCCAATTTTGTCAAGTGTGTCTAAATGCTATCACACATGCTAGATATGGAAAGATGAATTTATGTAGAAAGGTATGGGAGGTAGATATCAGACAGGAATGGTCTTGTCAGCTTCCCCCCCCCCGATATTTTGTTTTTTGTTTTTTTATTACTTTTTTATTAATTACAAAAAAAGGGAAAAAACAAAAGTGCTTTAACATAAAAGTGAATATAACAAAAAAAATATCATTAAAATAGTACATAATTACAATTCTATATATGCTTATCTAATACAAATATTATTCAAGTACATATATATTTCTAATAGAATTATGACTATCCTTTTTTTTTAAACCCAGTGTATTTTGTATAAATGAGTCCCATATTTCATTATACTTGTCCATACAAAGTCTATGTCTATAGGCAATCCACTCATAAGTCGCAAGGGTAATCAGGTCTTCACCTTTTTTTTTAAACCCAGTGTATTTTGTATAAATGAGTCCCATATTTCATTATACTTGTCCATACAAAGTCTATGTCTATAGGCAATCCACTCATAAGTCGCAAGGGTAATCAGGTCTTCAATCCATTGACTAAATGAGGCCATACATTTATCTTTCCAATGTTGCAATATCAGTCTTTTGGCCAAAGGAAGGGCACGGAGAATCCATTTATGTTGTCTGGTTGTCAAATTCCATGTACTAAGTATATAGTTCAAAATAACATTATCCTCTGAAAATTTTAGCTTTTGTTGCACCATCACATTTATATAGTCCACTACTTTCTCCCAAAACTTAGTAAGTATAGGACGTTGTAAGAACATATGTTTTAAAGAGGCATTGTCCTTATTAC